TGCTGTGCTGGCTTGTAAAGAGCTTATAAAGAGATGCTAGGCCCCCAAGTGTGTTTGTTTCGAAGGAAAATAACACCTTACCTAAATAAATGTTACTTTCTGGGAGTAGGCTACCCTATTGCTGCCTGCTGCTGCCTCTTGTCTCCTATGAAAATAACTGCAAATGCTTCTGTCTCTGTCTTGCTTGTCACCAGTATATCATAGAATCATAGAATGGTTAGGGCTGGAAGGGACCTTCAAAGGTCATCTAGTCCAACCCCCCTGCAAGGAACAGGGATATCTCCAACTAGATCGGGTTGCTCAGGGCCTCGTCCAACCTGGCCTTGAACGTCTCCAGGGATGGAGCATCCACCACCTCTCTGGGCAACCTGTTCCAGTGTTCTACCACTCTCATGGTAAAAAATTTTTTCCTAATATCCAACCTGAATCTACCTCCCTCTATTTTAAAACCATTTCCCCTTGTCCTATCACAACAGGCCCTCCTGAACAGCCTCTCCCCATCTTTCTTGTAGGCCCCCTTGAGGTACTGGAAGACCGCTATAAGGTCACCCCGGAGCCTCCTCTTCTCCAGGCTGAACAGCCCCAACTCTTTCAGCCTGTCCAATATATGCTGGATATTGTCAGTTTAGTTTCTTCATAGTCCACCTGAACAAAACCCAGGCACTGAAAACAAGTGGAACTGAACTTTTGGGCTGGATGCTTGCCCACTTGGTTGAAGGAACACAAAATTTCCCATACCATCTACAGTTTTGACGAAGGAGATTAAACGAAGTTTCCGACCTTTTTGTTCCATCTTACAGATACTGCTGGTGTTCCTCAAAGCATGCCTATGTGTTTGTAGAAATAAATTAATAACCTCTACGTTGTATTAAGCAATTTTAGCCTTTACAGAAAGCGGTGGGTTTTCATGGCCAATCTAATGAGGATGCAGCTGCTGAACGTGGAGTGAGGAAGAAGGAAGGGAAACAATTTAGAGCTGCTTACTGATATGCCCATGCTTGTGGCCTTGGTCTGCAGAGCTCACCACTTGGAGAGAGGGGAGACTTTGGTCTCCAAGTCCTTCAGCCTTTGGCTTCCATGGTGAAGCTGTCTTGGCTTTGGAAAATTTTCTGCAGGAATCGAATTCAGGTGATTTAATTTCATGGGGGATCTATTGTATTATAAGAGATTCTAGTCACTTCCAACCCATTGGGCTACCCAATAATACAATGTGTTTCTCAGTCAAGTCATTCAGTACTCTACGTTTGACGACTCCACGCGTTGGTAAAACCGTTACAGACAGTAATGCTTTTCTGCCTTTCACCTTGAATCGATTCTCTGTTTTTTATTTATTTAGAAATTCAGAAGGGGAAGAGAACCTGTGTTTCTGAAATACCTATTTGCAATTCCTGGTAAGCCATACACCCAGAACAAGATCCCATAGGTTAACATACATTAATCTGGGTCTTTCTGGCAGTTGTACAGAGTACACGTTTGATTTCTGTTTACAATTTAGATTGCCCGTGACCTAGGTGATATGTAGGTGTATACAAAGTTAGCATTCTCTACAAGGCTACGTGGTCCACGTAGCATTTTTCCTTAAAAAAGTCTCCAGGCTCATCAAGCAGACTAGTTACTAGAGTACTAGAGGTTGATTTCAGTTCAAGTTATGCACATCATAGTTGTAGACTGTGTATGATCAGTGTTATGTGGAAGACAAGATGTATAATTACAGATCATTTATTTCAAGATTCTGAAAGGCTTTCAGGTAGCTCTAATTAGTACATTACAATTGCAATACCTTGCAAACATTACCCAATGTATTAAAGCTCCTCTCCAGTATATAACCATTAGTCTTCTGAACTCATAGATATGGAAAAGATAAATTAACAGCTTAGAAAAACTATGTGATAAGACAGTTGGCATAGGAGTCAGGAACAGATCTCTCTCTGGTTTTGTTTGGTTTGTGGTGGTGTTGTTTCTTTCTCCTGTATCCCAAACGAGTTCATGGGATTTTTATCCCCCCCCAGGTATTTTTTACATTCCAGCATAAGCTTTTCAGCCACACCAAATAGAGCAGAAAATACATTTCGAGTGGAATCGACATACGTCTTCCCAATAGAACACTTTCCCAAAATGTTTAGTAACTTAGCATGCTGAGCAGCAGACACTAGCAAGCCATGTTAATCAGTTCTGCTTTATAAAAGCAAACAAGGTGGGGAGGAAGTAATGAGAGCCTGAAACATCTGTTTGGAGACTTGGAATCCCTTAGAAGGTTTTGAGTTCTGCCTTAAAGAAACACAACTCCAAAAAATTACAACCAACTGTGGGAACGTTTTCTGGCTCTTTACAAAAAATTAATTATGTAAATATTAGTCTATAAAAAGTAAATTCCCTCTACCCTCTTCTCCAGTTTTGCTTCTGTTTTAAAGGTGTAATATTGCCTGACATTGCAAACATTCTTTCAGCAAAGAGAAGCTAGATCAGATCCATCCTAGTTTTGCCAAAGGAGGAAAAACTGCTCTGATTGTTACAAAGCTAAGTAATCATAGATATGACAGTATTAATAAACAATCTTAGAGTTAGAACAGTATAGGAATGCTGTAATTTAATAACAATTAAATACACAGTCCTGTGTGTGTTTCACACAATTAATAGCTACTTAATTGCTTTATAAAGTTAAAAGACTGCATCAAATAGTTTCTCCTTCCTACCTGTGCTGCTTGTAACAGTGGTTCTAAACTGTTGTTTAATGTGAAAATGGAATTTGAAATCTGTGTTCTTACTCTTGTTTCTTTGGGATGCTTTCTTTAATAGAGAGGTTCACTGTTCTGGTCAATTTTAATTCTTAATCTGCTTCTGGTTTTGTTTTTAAATCATTTGCTGCTGAGTTCTGGGTAATACATGTTTCTTAAGAAATGAGGCATAGGGAAAGGAATACTTAAGTCTTTGCTTGGCATGTGGTGTTTGCTTTATTTAGTGTCTTTTTGGTATTTTAGGAAGGTAGACATTATTTATTCTTACCTGTTTATCGAGTTCTTCTGCTTTTACAGTTGGACTTAATACTCATTTTGTTCTATGTTCTAGATAATTGGCCTTTTACCCAGCAATTAAATCCTACCAGGGAGAGAAGTAAGGAGAGGGAAGTGATTCTGTTCTCGAGTGAAATTGCTTTGCACTCTCTCTGGATGACAAGCTCCAGAGAAGTGTAATTTTTGGACATACTCATCAGTCTCCTTAATAAAATTTCGAAATACTTAGAAGTAGTATGGTTGTTAATGTTTTCTCACAATAAAAGTAATGCCCCACTCTTTTCTAGTTTGCTTTTTTAATTGTAACGTGGATTTTTTTTTTCATCTTAGATTTTTTAACAGAACTACTCTGAAGATCCTGTTTTACAAACTACACACAGAGCAGAGTTTTAGGGCCAGTGTTTCAGCAACAGCACTTTAGTTCTCAATCTCATAGCTTATACTCGGAGCAAGGTAGAGGGTAGGCATGTGCATGAATACATGCAAGTTTTCTTGCAAATTTGCATTTTTCCTTCTTGTAATCTTTCCTCTACACTGGTGTTTAGTGTACACGTAGGAATCACTCTGTCTTCTGTTAAAAAATAATGACCTGCAGAGTGAGACGCTGGCAACTTGTTAACAACAGCTAAATGAGAGTTATTCTTGGTTCATCTTAAAGCCTATACCTCCAAAAGCTTAGTATTCCTTCAGTAACTTAATATTCTAAATAATTTTATTTAATATTCTCATAGCATGGGATTAAATCCAGCCTGTCTGTAGAGCCTTTTTGCTATTTAAGGAATCCATAGCAAGAGTAAAATAGCACTTGCCCAAATTTCTGTGGTGTCTTCAGCTGTTGTATTCTGGCTCTGAAAGCTTCTTAAGCTTCCAATTATCAAAAAAAAAAAAGTCTTTTGTTTTAATTGTTCTACAACCTAGGTGCAAACACACACTCTTGAAGTTGATACTGAACCATAGGGAGACTGTAAATTAAATTACCTTCTGGACCCTTCAAGGTGCTGGACTTTGCTGAAGAAAAATTGGGTTGAAAAGATTCACATCTCTTGGGCCAAAACACTTGGACTACATTTATTGGCAAAGTGTGTTTCCTTCTGCGTTGGATGGAGTCCTACAGGATCATTTGATGTTTCTGGGCATTTAAAAAGTATGTTTGTGTCTAACAGAGAATCAGACAGGTCAGCATTTTCATTTCCAAAGCCCTGCTTTTCTTCCAGTGTTTCTGTCTTATGTAGGAACTGGGACAAGATTGAAACTTGCCATACAGGATCTTAGCTTGAAATATGTCAATTTTATATATGAATTTTAGTTCACCTGTGTATAAGAAAATCACATACTTCATTTCTGCAGTTTTACACTGCCTGTGTTGTAAATTAGCCTGGATGAACAATCGTAACAAATTGGCATGTGTATGTACTTTTATGTAAAATCTTAATATTTACTTGTATAATTTTTTTTTTTTTTTTGAAGACTTGGGAAGGTTTTAGGTTGGTAGGGTTCATGAGTACTGGAATTCTCTAGCTGATGAGCTGTCTTTAATATTGATGTTAAAAGGTGACTTTTATGTTCCACCTTTTAGGCTGCATGCTTTTATTTGGCTGTTTAGCTGCACTGTGGATTTCTTCTTGGAAAAACTGAGTATAACAGCAATTTCTTCTATGATCAAACTGCTTTTGACATTTTTCAAGAGGAAAACATGACAGAAGTGTGAAAGTAACCAATTTCTTCAAGTATTGTCATTCTATTTAATCACTTGCAAAGTAATGCAGCTGCTTCTTTTTATTGACTGTAAATCGTGTTTTTTGGGGGGATGGGGTTGAGTTTGAAGCCTTCAGGCTTTATGGAAATATCCTAGCTACAATAAACACGCCTCCTAATTTAATTTCCACCTGACTTGTCGACTGCATGGAACAGATTGTGCATGGCAAGCCAAAATTGATTATTAAGCACTGGATCAGTGCAGTGTGAAAGTGATCTTTATTCTCTTTACAGGCAAGGTGGTTCTGGGAAGCGTATTTTCGGTCGATGAAAGCAATTGCTCTTGCTACTCTTCAGATTATCAATGACAGAATTTACCCATATGCTGCCATTTCTTATGAAGAATGGAATGATCCCCCAGCTGTGGTAAGTAAATCCGTTTGATTCACTCATAAAACAAATTGTGGGTTTGTGTTTTTTCCCCTCGTATAAAAGGTATGTGCTATGAAACTTGGCAATAATTCTATGTGTGTGTGTTTGTGTGTGTGTGTGTGTTGTGTTGGTAACTTGCACAGATGAAGCTAATATAAATTTTATGACAACTGGCAAAATAACTAACAGTTCATTTTATGTCCTGGCAGTGAAATGCAAACTTTTAGCTTTTGCTATTGAACACACTAAATTGCTTGCTTGTTTATATATTTATTTATTTTTCATGCATGCAATACACACACACACTTACTTCTTTATTTCTGCTGAATTTAGTGTGAGTTTAGTGCTCTTGAAAATGAATAACTGCAGTGGAAATAGTTGGTGGAAATACTGAAGATCTTAAACGATCTGCAAGGCTCTTTCATGTAATTCTGATGAAATAGCTAATTATTCTTATGCCTACAATTTCTCTGTGTTATTTCTACATAATTTCTCTTATGCAGAAACTGATGATCAAAGTTTTGCTGTGTTATGGGTTTTTTTCCTTAAAAAAAAAAAGTTTCACCAGTTGAACCCACCTCTGTTAAGAAGAAACACCGGAGTATTAATTAACCTTCTGCACCAAGCAGCTGGTTCTGATTTTTTACTATATAAAAGCCTGTGGATGATTTTCACTCATAATCAGTTACTTTCCCCTGTGTCAAAATATAAAAAAAAAATAGTTTTATTTTACTAATAAAACCAAACTTGTTAACTGTCTCACTTTATGATGGTTTAGAGAGAGTTTCCCTGAAAGCTGGGCGTGTTTTGCTTTAAACTCTTCAGGCTGATAGAGTGAGAACAGTTGCTGACAAAGAGTTAGAAGCTCTTTGCTGGGTTTCAGATAATTTTCCGTTGCTTAGCCAAAGGCACGAGTCATCTACTGTTGTCATTGCCTGGAGAGCAAACGTGGCACTTGTCAATCCTTAAGGAAGAAATGGAGCTGCACAAGAAGTAGGTACTCCACAAGAAGGGCATCAGAACATCTTAACACCTTTAGATGATGCTAGCAGAACAAGCACCTTGAAACACCTAGTAAAATGAAGAAAAATACTTTAGAATTGCTCAGTCTTTAAAAGGGATGCAAAAACGTCTTCTCCTGGGTTCTCTCCTATACTGGAAACCCATCCATTTCTGGGGAAGCTAAGGGATGGGTTTGTGTCTAACAGAATAGATTAAGGGAAGAAGCAAATTAATAGATTATTAGAAGGAAAGCTAATCCTACTCTGAGTAACAAGCAGAGTGAATCCTTTTACTAGTTCTGTTTCAAATCACTTGAATATTCTTATTAAGGTTATGATGTTATAATATTCTTATATTATTATTATTATTACTACTACAAAATAATGCAATAAAATCAATGGAGGGATTCCAAAAAGCTTAAATATTATGGCAACTGTCAGTTCTTGGCAATTGGTCCTCTTCTTGCTGCAAATCTATTCCTTTGACACGTTATTGAAATTAAGAAGTTGAAGACATGAGCCCAAAGCTGAGTTTTTGTATCAAGGAATGTTCAGCCAATAGATTCCATCAGAAGGGCTCAGACAGCTGATGAAATTTAAGTGGCTAAACATAATACTTGGAAAAAATATTTCTGTTAGTCATTCAACTGAGAGGTTCTCAAGCAGAAGGTTTATGACCACAGAGGTGGCCACATACAGACCAGAACTCCAAAACTGTGAAGGAACACGTGACAGCAGTACGGTGCCGGGGCAGTCCACGGAGGAGGTGGGAATGTTGTAGGGATGTGCAATTGCAAAGAAAAAAAATTAGAAGGTTGGAATTTGTCCAGGGCATTGGAGTTAACACTTCATATCGTGCCTCAGTTTCTTGGTGGTTTCATGTCTCAGTTGAAAGGACTTGCTGTTTATTATCCGAGTTTATGGAATATGCGCACGAATTCATTTCTTGCTCCGATACGAGGCAGAAACATCATTAAAAGTTCCTTTATGGGTTGTGTAAGCTCCGAACTAGCCAGCAACACAGAGTGCTTGTGACCCTTTCTCCGAGGGTCAGTTAAAGAAAACAGAATTCAGACTGGGAATTGTTCAAGAGCGATTAAATTTGTACAACAGCAGTACACGATCCCGTGATATCTTTAACTGGGGATTTTGATAGCTGCTCTGAGCATGCACGAACATTTCCTTCCAAGAGGCTCTTTTTTCTTTCCTTTTCTTTTTTTTTTTTTTTTAAGCCAGCTAATTTTGACCTTTGTTCTTTCATTCAAAGCAAATAACTGGAGCCTTCTCCAATTTGTCTTTGAGGTTTTTATTTTTCTTCTGTGAATATATTTTATCTCTGAGGCGCGAGCATGTTACAGTCGTGGTCTGTAAGTGAGCATATTTTTCAGGACTCAGCTGTCAGACAATTTAGAAGGTGACAATTTATACAGTATCTGCTAGTAAATTTAATAAGTAAGTAAGTTTAATAGTAAGTGGTTTTTTGTGGTTTTTTTTTCTGGGGGGGTGGTTTGATAATTGCACTAGTCAGAATTCCACAGTTGGTGTCTGCTTGTCAGGGGAATAATGGTCCACTTGAGCCTGAGTGTTTCTCATCTAAGCTCCTGCCTGATGTCCACTCATAGCTCTGTTGCAATTTCTAGTAAGCCTGGATGAAACATTATAGTTGCAAAACAAGTACATGTGTACATTCGAGGTAAGATGGAAACTGTACCCTCTAACTCTGATAAGAAGATAAAATAACTAAAGATGACTTGAATGCATTCCTTATTTACAAGAAAATTGCTGTATTCTTCTCTAAATAAACTCCAAGACTGAAGCATTTAAAGATGATGATTTCGGGATATAAGTAGAAATGAAGCACCTGTGAGTTAACATTAATACCACAACGAAATGTGCGAGTAACTGGGTGTCATAAATTCTGTTACTGGCCAAAACTGCACCTCCAGAACTTGCCATGTGTCTTCTGCCTTCAAACTCAGCTCAGCACCCAGTTCCTCCAGCTCTGCTTGGTTTTGCCTTGGGACGTTGTGGTCGGTGAGGATTAAATGCGATGCTGTTCTATACGCTCCTGTTCCCGTATCGGAGGGGATGGCTGTTATCTTGGGCAGGCAGCAGGAGTGATATTCACACATTTAAAACCAGTGAAGCGTGCTCCTGGCTAGATCTGCATATGGATAGGCTTTTTTTTTCTGTTCCCCAGCTATTTCTCAAGTCTCAAGAAAGAAACACCAGCCCACCTTGTGTGGAGTCTGTAGTTTCCCGAACGTTTTAAACCACTACAAGCAGGTACTGTTGCCAAAAGAGGCAGTTGGGTGATGATTTCCCTCTCTGCGTGCTACCTTTCTTTTTGAATTTTCTAATTCACTTGTGGTGAAGAATTTTCTGAAATCATTTTCTTCACGTGAAACTTACCCAGCAAAAGGGGGGAGAAAAAAAAAAAGGCGTAGGGGGCAAGGGAGGGACCGGGTGGCTGGAAGGCTGCTTTTTTTGGCATTAGTTTGGCTTATATTGGCTCAAAATATTAATGAGACTGTTGCCTGAGTATCTTCACCACAGCGTGGATACAGCGGCAGTGCAAGAGGGTGTTTTTCCAGCAGGAGGGAGTAGAAGGTACACAGAAGATAAATGCATGTGCAGTTAATTCCATACTTAGTACATTCCATTAAAGAAGTGATCCAAGCGGTTTTATGTGAGTTACCTGAAGACTGTTGGCCTTTTCTAAAGAAAAAAATATATAAATATAAAGTGGATTATTTTCTTACTTGTCTGCTATCCTGTTGAGGAAGTGGAAGACTAGTAGCATACAACGTACTAATGATGTGTCATGGGATAGTACTTTCAATAAAAAGACACTACAGGACATTTCCTCTTTTTAATTGAAAAGGGGCAAATGATGTTTTTGGGGCCTGAAATTCATTCCTGGACCACTTGAGTCCTTTATATCTTAGTCTTCTGCTGCAAGCACAGGAGTTTAATGCCTTTTGTATTTCTTGGCCCAGCCATTATCCGTTAGACAGGAGTAATCCGTTACGTCCAAGTAAGCCACAAAATAAACTGCTGCTACAGTTTGCATTCTGATGGTTACCAGTTTGGGATGGATTAGAACTGATGACCTGGGTTTCAGATGTGCTCTCTTATCTTCGATTAAGTACTTTGTTACGCTCTAATAGAGGTAAATTACTTTCTCACTTGTGCTTCTTTGTAGATTATTTAAATTCTGCTCTTACTTCGCCTCATGCCTTGCTGACATATGAGTATCTGAAAAATGAGTAAGACAGGATTTTTCCAGATTTCTTTAGTTGCTTTTGCTGAAATTTTGGAGCCTGTTTATAATGTAGACCTATAAAACACTAGAGTTGTGTGGGTTTTTTTTTTTTTGTCAGAGGCTGCTTTTGAGCTTTGACCTTGGATGATACAGACCATAGTTTAATAATCACTTGAGAATATCACTATGCCGAACAATAAACATACCAGATTTCATTCCTCCCAGTGAGGCAGAAAGCAGCACCATCATTTGTTTTAAACTAAAATAGCCGAATGAACTTGGTGCAAAAAGTGCCATTCGTTTAGCAAAGCCTGAGTAGGATGTTCATTTACAGAATACTTTGTGGTCTTCTGCCAACTACCAGGCAGTTGACACTTGTTAAACAATTCAACTATTTCTAAGCTCCTCAGCTAGTATTTTACAACCCTTAGTTTCCAGATAAAGCCACTGTTACAATTGTACTTCCGTTCTAATACCATTCCTCAGCTTCAAAGAATTAAGCAAATATTAACATACACTTTTTTATTTACTTGTAAATGAGAACAAGCTAGCAATTTTCTGGACAATGCACATCTGGTATTTTTTTTCCATTGAACAATATTAGTTTCTGTCCTGCTGTATTTCCAGCTACCTTGTGTGATGGTTTGAATCAACTGGGTGAAATTTTGCTTTATTTACCATGTTAAATATTCTTTCGTACACTAAATAAATTTCAGTTTATTGATATG